TTATAAAGTCACAAATTATGTTGTAACGTATCACATATATTAAATCTAATATTACTTTTTTTATTATTTCTTTATTTTCTTATTTCTTTTTTATACGAGAGAAGTGATTATCTAACGAGTTAACCCTGCCTGCAGAATTTTATTATAATTTAAGTGACGATTCAATTTTAGAGAGATTAAAATAATATCTAATTCTGTATTAAAAATAAATCAATTTTCAATATTTTGCTTTTTATCATAGTATAGATAATGATATACTAATTTCTGAATTGTCGTTTAAGTAGCAATTATCTATGGTACATCAAGACAAAAACAGCATAGCACTGTGCTTATCGACATCTGTTTAAGGGTTGAATACCAGGGGTGAGAAATATTACCGACGGTTGCAGCACATACCGACCAAATACTGCTTTATCAGAAAGCAGCTTGTACCGTTTGATACTCTTATCAACGTTATCTATCGTCGACTTTTATTAACGGTACGAAAGGTAAAATTCTATAGAAGGGATTGAAACATTGTCGGTAAAATAAATTTCGCACGAATAACACAAAAAATAATTTTAAGCGATAAGAGATATATTGTGTACTCATCTAATGATTTTTTAACATATTTATGTAACCTCTACTAAAAATTGTAAAATATTATTATATTATTATCTTTTATTAATTGTTGTATATCCACAATAATATTGAGATTTGCATTATATATTTTGTTTTATGTTTACAGAAAAACTATCAATAAAAATATAAAAGTTTTTCTTATTGGAATATAATGTTTTATATAATGCAAAAATCCATTATTGAACAAAGTATTCTACGAATAATCATTATAATAAGCAAAAGCCTCAAGAGGCATTAAAAATCTTTAATAAGCAATTTTTATAGATAATATTTAATATTCTATCCTCAATTCATTAGCTATGTTTCTCAAATTTGTCGATGAATAAAATAAGACAGAATTGCGCATAAATCATATTGCTCGGGTAGATTATTTCAATATCAATTGTCAAAATGCGGTGCCATAAATCAAAACGCAAGGAAACAGATTTTACATGTTTATCAAAATTTTTCATTTCCTCTTTTTTTATCTTACAAAATTCCCAAGTTAGAGTCTCATCTGTGGTAAGTAGTCATAATTAAAAGTTCGAATAAGAAATAACGCTCTGTGATCAGGGGCGTATCACTCACATAATATCGCCAAGCTTGAGTCGAGTCTGTATAAGGGCGCAACTCTTGTGGTCACTGGTAGTGACAGCCCTCCGTCTCCTGGCAGCATATCGGGGCATCGTTTCCAAATGCGTTGCCCCGCCATCAGTATTTCCGGGACCTCCGCTGGTCCCTGATGTGGCCCCATAGCCAATGAGACCCACACTTCCACGCACCAGCGGATTACTGCCACGCCGACGCGTAGACACGTGCCGGCCTCCCACACCACCCAGCATCCTGGAAAGGAAAAAAAGCAATTAAATCTATATCAGATTAAACAATTTTATATATATAATTACGAAATATGAAAACCTGTGGATTTTATCCCCACAATTGCAGTTTGGAATTCCAAAGCACGTGCATATTTGATATAAAAAATTGATATAGTATTAATGCTAATTTTTTATTATATATTCTTAATTATTATTCTCCAGAAAATTTGCATTTTATCTATAAAATTTTAATATTATTGATTTTAATCTTTTCTAACCTTTAAAAAAATTTTATAATTTCTGACACTTTTCTGTAAGATGCTGAAAAAGATTCAAACAATTAAAGGGAAAAAAGATAAGAATCCAAAAATATATAGATTCTTTTTTCGAAAATTTGATAAATATCCAGAAAATAAAAAGATTTATATTTTTAGATTTTTTTTATTGTCACGCTTAAATGTCATAATTTTTACGTTTACTTAAAGTCAACTTTTATAAAAAAAATCCTGTCGAAAGATATTGAAACTCAAATCAATCTTAATAAAATTAAAAACATTAATACTAATTCGCATTAATATAATAAAAATATGAAGTTAAAGTCCCTGTTTTTTTATACTCAAGCATTTTTTGAAGAAAAAATAATATGTCACAGTTTATTTTGTATCTGTATAGTGATATGTCGGAAACGATAACGCAATAAAAATAAAAAATAAAAAAAAAGAAGAGTGTCGAGTATTTAGCGTTCCTAACTAAAAACTTTTTATCTGATGTAGTCTTTAGTTTTGAAATTAGGGTCACCCCTATCATAAATCAACATGATACTTTAAATCGGATGATACGCATAAATCACGCAACGATAAACTGTCCAGGTTGTCCGGAATTGCCGCTCTCCGGCTTAAAAGAAATTGCAGGAATAGACTAACGAGGTATAGAATCCAACGGAGCGTTCTTTCGTTAATTAGGTTACGTTGACTGGCCTAATCTCGGCGCATCAGCGGCAGCTAGTAGTCACGCGATCGAGCACTTGTGCTCGTCTATTTTCTGGCACGCGTGTCAGGTCCATTAATAGCATTTTTTCCCCTTAACGTATCGATAATTCCTAACTAATCTTCATCAGATCGATGAGAAAAAGTCGGTCGTAATCGACACTGGGGAGTGAAAGAGAGGAACCGTTGTTTACGACGTTACGGACACTTGAACGTGTCTTACACGTGTCATTCACATGTTATGCGAAACTCGTTAATTCACAAGTAATGCATTAAAGGCACCGTCTCTCGGCAATGTGCGTGAAATATTCTATCAATTACCCGCGTCTTGCGCATATCTATTGACTCCCTCGCGGCTTTTCAAACGTCACGAGCATGAATCTCTTTTCCATTTCTACCTTTTCTCTTCATTTCCTGAAAGCGTCCGTCGTGCACGTTGAAATGATGGAAAATAAAGCGCCACTGCTATCTAGATATTGTGAAATACGATTAATCATCATCCGAATGCGACGTACACGTCGAGTTCACTATCCTCAACGAATCGGAAATGCGCGTGAATAAAAACGCAGGAAAGTCAAAGAATTCGTAACACTTTTTCGACAATCACTTTTCCCGACAACAGAATTTTATGTCTATCTATAAAAGGATCTGCGGACATGGAAGACTCAAAAGGACACTACTTTTTCTCCGAATAACATCGTGACAGTAGTTACATTTTGAAATGAAAGAAAAATTCTTTTATTATCGTTATTCGTATTTGTCCTTCACAAATATTCTCATAAATGGCATCCACAAAATTTTATAATCACATCAGGCACTTTAAAGAACGATAAAAAAATTAAATGACACTCTGTAATTAAAATCGGTCTTAATAAAAGTACGGAGTATGGATAAATGTCATAAATATTTCAAAGTAAAATTACGTGGATCACGGCAAGTGCGATAAATTATCCACGTTATACGGTCGCCGTTGTTTGCTCCGATATCAAATTTGGGATTTTATTACAAGTTCCGCAGAGTTTTCCCAAAGTTCCTCACCAAGCGCATTACGCTAAGCAGGCGCACGTAGGTCGGTGTACACTAAATAAGTACGTATCCATGGATCAAGAGCATATCGGGTATGCAATTTACCCGTTGCGTGTTTCGCCAACCATAAAATTGGGTGGTGTGGCTTCAACAAATGCCTGTACTTGAAATTATGATTTCGTGAAATGCCATTTCGTGAAATCTTGGGAGCGATGAATATCGGGAGTTTAAAACTAAAAATAATATTTTAAACGGGTGAGCATCACAAATTAGGCTTGTAACAAAATAAAAGTCGCTTTGATTTAAACGGAGAGATCTCAATATTTCGATAATAAACGAATTTATGATATCGGAATATAATCTCTGTAATAATCGGAATGTAATCCTGTAATAATCCTCAAAAGGAGTCGATTAATTGGAAAATCTATCCGTTCCGAGTATATTTTCTATTTTTTTACAGCGATTCTCGTAATATATCTCGTAAAAGTAAAATCGCGCGTGGCGATTAAAGTTTCGCGATTTTCACGGATTGAATCATGACGCGGAATATTCGCGGCGTCGACAATTCGTGCGTCAGTTAACTCGCACGATTATTTGCGTGAAACGAATTATTATCCGGTAGCTGGCTTTATTGAATGAACAAAACAGAATTACAATCCATTGCGTGGGCACGCCCACGTGCGCAATGCACATCTCAATACATCATGCAACGCAATGCGAAATTTCACGCGAGCGAACATTACTGTTGCGATATCATCGCTCGTGCTTAAAAGTAATCAATTTACAAATTTTTACGCGAATTCTCTTTCTCTTTCTCCCTCTCTCTCTGTCTCTCTGTCTCTCTCTTTCTTTCCACCTCTTAAACCCGTAATTCATTTCGTCAGAACTTATTTCATCATCCTACCGATACGCCTTTGTTTATATATCAGCCGTTCATGTGCTCATTCTCCGCATATAAATGCTTAATGGAATAAAAGTCGATAGTTCATCGACAAAGTTCAGGATAGGTTTGTTATATTTTCGTATTCTCTCTTACATAATGCATCAAATGTGCGTTAATAATGTAATTAAATCTCAAATAAAAATTTATGAATTAAAGACAGTTTCTACATTGATATCATAGTAATCACAAATGAAAGATATTCATTTGACGAGCGGTCTATTTTAACATTCATTTATGTAAACTATAATATATATATATTACTAAATTATATTATCATTATTTACTTATTAATATACAATCGCGCATATACAAACTACTAATGTATCAAATCAATTGTATTATTCATTTTATCCATGTTATCAACACTTGACGAGCTAGGAAAGCCACAAAAAAAAAAATTGCTCGTTGCGCAAGTGAGCTTGTTTGCTCACTCCTTCACATCCTGCATCTTGTTTCTCATTATCTATCACGAGCGCTTTTGGTAGATAATGAGAAATCGAAGACGAAACACGCGGGCGCATATCGACGCGCTTTATATAAACGCGTATAGGAAAATACATAGGTTGCGTATGTCGCAGTAGCGAGGCTTCTCGCACGACGCGCCGGTGGTCGAAATTTTAGGGTAGCAACCTGTTGCTAGGCACCCCGGGAACTCTTATCCCACCTCGCTACGTTACCCGGCAACCTTTACCCTACTCTCGTCTCTCTCTCTCCTCTCTCTCTCTCTCTCTCTCTCTCTCTCTCTCTCTCTCTCTCTCTCTCTCTCTCTCTCTCTCTCTCTCTCTCCTCTCCTCCTCCTCCTCCTCCTCTCTCTCTCTCTCCCCCTCCCTCCCCTCCCCCTCCTCTCTCCCTCTCTCCCTTTCCCCCCCACCTCCACCAATTCGTCTAACCCTTTCAACCCCTCTCATCCTTCCTCTGTGTGTCCATCTTTTTCTCTCTTCTCGATGTAACAGAATGTATATCGCTGAAAATCTTTCCTGTCGGTATCGTCTTTCGCACGTATCGTCCACGGAAGATCCCGTTTTTATTCCGACTATTGTCCTTTTTATCTCTTCACTCCCTTTGTCCGGTCTACCTTTTCTCTTCGTAAGTACTTCTGCCGTCGTTCTTCTCGTTTATTGCAATCGAGTTTCGAATTTGCCGAACCTCTAGTTCCCTCGTTCTTCAAAGTACTTTTATCCTTCCACTTTGAGACGCCAGAACAACATAGTTCTATTCGCACATATACAGATTCTTCTTTATCTGACATCTTGTACACGCTGCATGAAAGCGCCTATAGAGATGTCCAGGACAATTTGAAAATAGACTGTATTCCCATTTTTTTTTTTTTTTCAGACACAAAGATATCCATCCTAAAGTCATATCTCACATTTTTGTTTGCGATAATATTAAACGGATTTCTTATTACAATTTTGATCAAATATGATCTTTGACCACTTATAAAAAAAACATAAAATGGCTTTTATGTCCATATAAAAAGAAATGATAAAAGCGATAAAAGATTAGTGAAGTGATTAAGTTTAAGTGAAAATTGCTATTTCTATACATTTGCGCTTTCGGCACAAGAGTGACAATATCTCGTTTAGCGAAGAGTTCCAAAACGTTTGCAATCATTTCCGAACATTTTTCGTTTGCTGATTCCTTTCTGTTCAGTACGGAGTACCACGTCGACATAGGAAATCTAATAAAAAGTCGAAGGGATCGGCCGACTTCCCGTAAAATTAATTTCATCCCCAAGTCGTTTCCCGTGCCAAGGGGTAGGAACGGGAAGAAAGAAACAGGATAAGCGATGGCGGAGAATCCCGTTCGAGAGTGTCGAGCGAGGAATGAAAAGGAAAAGTAAATTTATAAAACCATTGTTAGAGTGAAGAATTTCGAGCATGTCGGGTTTTACAATATGAAAATAGCCTCGTACATAATTAAGCATTTTAAATTATGTGCAAATTCTTGACATGAAATAGCAAGTTTTGTATATCGCATATATAACAATATCAATCTTAAAATAGAGTTTAATATTACAAGATAAATCTTATTATTGCATGCTCAGAGACAAAAATGCTATCATAAATTTTTGAATATAATATTTTAAAAATGTAATCTAGTTCCCTCTTCCACTTTCTTTTTCAAGTGAAAAATGTGTTATGTAATTTCTTAAAAAGTTTAATTATTTTCGCATAACACTCAAACAAAAAAATAAACAAATAGAGTAGATTTTCAATTT